ATAACTTTAAGCCTATAATTATATTGCATTTTAATTGTTGAATATAAATTATATAAATTATATTCAGTCAGTAAAATATATTAACCAAATGCCAAATTACTGTTAGTAATTATGATTTATTAAAAATGCATTTTCATATAACGTAATATTCATTTGGACAATAAATATCTGTCATATAATCTTAAAGTTATAACTTGTAAGGAGTCACCAGTAAAAAAAGTGATGTCACCAGTCATGTCATACAATCATTTTGTACACATTTTAATATAAAAAACTTTTTATTAATGACTCGAAAATCTAATTTTAAAAATATCTTTCCATTCGTAAGTTATGAATCAAATGTGCAATAAATGATTGATAATATCTTATGCATCACTTAATTATTCGGGTCTATGATGTGATATTCAGTCATATATTTAATACAACTTTTTTGTATAATTTTTTCTGCATTTAAAACGAATATTTTATGGACTCTTTGAGACAAGAAATGTAATGTTTTTCTAATTTGAATTTTAAAACTTAACTTTTTTGAATTTAATACATCATATAAAAAACTTCTCAAAAAATATGTCAAAACTTTCAAAATTATGATAGATTTATGTTGAGAAATACAAAAAATTGTTTTGAAATAATAAGTTATAACTTAAAATAAAAAAATATATATTTTAACTTATAATTACTATAAGCTAATTCACTTCATTGTTTTAATTAAAAAATACTATCATACTAAATACTGTAAAATTTAGAATTTAAGGTTTAAGCATACTGAGTATAGTCTAAAACTTATAACTGTAAATTTTATAATTACTAAATAAATGAGTAGTAAAATAGAATTATTGCATCCTATTTAATTTTGGGTATATTATTAATTAAACCTGATTTAATTTCATGAAGAATCCAATAAAAATACTACCTGTATAAATACTTTCAAGAATAGACTAATCTCAATAAGACATGTAAATACAATAAGTGTTAAAAATATACAATTCATAAGGAGCTGAGTCACGAAAAATCACTTCAAGGTTTAACAAATGGAAAGTTGATTTCAAACTTATTATTTCAGTTCAATTGATTTTCTTGTGTTAAAACTTCATTTTCAATTAAGTTTATAATTGAGAATCATTTCGTAAGCATTGTTCATTGGTGAATCAATTCATTGAAGTTAGGAGTTAAGGTGTTTGCGAAATTAAACAGTGACTCTACATTTCATAATTGAAATTAGGATTTAATGAATCAATTCTAAAAATATCATTTTAATTACAATAATCCAATTAATGATATTATTTGGACATTTCTATTAATAATAATTGTGTACACTTTTAAAGTGAGATCACATATTATGAACAAAATGAGTGAAGTGACAGAGAATGTGAATAACAATAACATTCATATCTACGAAAAAGTAAAAGTCGTGTTTTTAGGGGAACAGAGTGTCGGAAAGACATCTCTTATAACTCGCTTTATGTACGACTCGTTTGAGACTTCATATCAGGCGACCATCGGTATTGACTTCTTATCGAAAGTGATGTCCACTCCGGACAGGACTATAAGACTTCAGTTGTGGGACACCGCAGGACAGGAGCGCTTCAGGAGTTTGATTCCCAGCTATATTAGGGACTCTGGAGTTGCTGTCATTATATACGATATAACGAGTCAGTGATTGTCTCATATATTTATACATTATATTTAAACCGATAAATAATTTGTTGATTAGATTTACAAACTTTCAATCAGTTGGAGAAGTGGGTGACTGACGTGAGGGCCCAGAGGGGCGATA